TCCAATGAAGAAGATGTCATGTACTCATAAGTAGTTGTTCTCCCTTTCTTGTCAAAGAGGATCATTCAATGTAGTTGTAGTACTCTTCATTTTTATACCTTGACATCATTTGAGTAGCCAACATGAGCCTCACTATGTCTTAGAATACATGCAAGAAGGACTTAATGGCAAGGTAAATGTGATTCATATGAGAAGGATAAATGTTGTCTTATTTTGTTGTTGAAACAGAGTAATATTTATACATAAACCTTGTACTTTTTTGATCTCTAAATTTTTTCAATACAACTAATTTAACTAAAATAAGGTAAATTCAAATAGTTGAGAAACCAATATGACATGTCTCTCAACTTAATTCAGATATCGTAAAGATGAATCAATATGTTATTCCTTTATTATTTAAGTTTCTTATTTGAATCATATCAGTTCACAATGATCCATTATGCATCTTGTGTCATGAAGTTAAAATTAATAAGAATATGATATCATTAACTCAAGGTTGGTGGTAGATGTTTTGATAAGATGATAATTTGACATTCAAATCATATTAGAATCACACCTCAAATAAAATATGATCCTTAAGTTAATATCTTAGGTGAAGTTCTCGATGTCTATAATCATTATTTTAGTGATTTAGGATATCTAAAATAATTTATAAGGTATATTCATAATACTTAGAAAATCATATTTGTTTGAGTAAGTAATTTGAATTCAATCAATCTAAAGAACATCAATTACATAAGAAAATAATGATATCACATCATGAGAGCACAATAGACTTTGTGAACTTTCATACCCATATTTTACTTTTTATGGTCTCATTAATTCTGATGTGCTCATCATTACTTTCATATTTTGGTATATTTTGTAAATATTGACATTTTCCACAATAGAATGTAATATGATGATTTCATGTTGAGATATCTATCATATTTATATATTTATTAGTATTGAATAAAAATATATTTTAATAAGTTCTCATATAAGCTATTATCATCAAGATTTCTGATTATGTGAATACATTCATAGATCATGAATATTGTGAACTATGCATAATTTGATCTATTAAAACTTATTTTTCATCATCAAAATACTTTCATAAGAGCATATTACTTTGGTTTTTTTGGTATCTACATTCAAGCTGCATTTTGAAACACAATGGCAGGATCTATGAACACATGTCATTGTTGTATTTTTTACCTTTTCAAATGCCCAGCATCTCAAGTCTTCCGCTCACATGGGTGTTCTAGTGGTTCTTGATCTCATTGTCAATTCTCCTTGACAATCACTCTCTAGCACTAGTTGCTCCTTGGCAACAGCTCTCTTGCTTGATGGTCTATTGCCTTCTGCTTGAAGACAAGATTAGTGCAACTAGTTGCTAAAAGTTATGGTATAGTTAGGCTGATCAATGATCACTTACAATGATTCAATCAACGAAAACACAAGTCTAATGATGGTGACTACCTCATTTTGAAATGAATGGACACAAGGGAGCTTCATTGGATTGGTTCCCCTAAAGATTGTGTCTAACATTGAAGTCCTTATGAGAGATAGTTTGGACACCAAAGCTTGTAGCTCTAGCTGAACCACTTCAGACCTCATATCACATCGAGATCTACTTAGAAAATTTAATAACCAATGATAGATGTCCACATCTAAATCAAGAAATTAAGCAACACCCTTAAGTGTTTGTAACTATACATTACTCACATCTAAAGACACGATTTTGCCTAAGAATTGATCTTGGGTCCTAGTTTGTTATGTGCAACATTTGAGTGAAGTTATTGCTAGACATGATTAGAGACAAAAAATAAATTGAAAAGCAATCAAGAAAAGTTCACCAAAAACTCAGTACAAGCGACCATAGATTGTCACGATATTTTTGAAAAACCATATGCTATTAAAGAAAAATGACTAAAGGTGATATTTTTTTTTGTATAATGTTTAAAATCTTTTTCACATCTTGCACATACCAATAACTTGAAAAATCTAAAAGTATAAATTACTTTACTGATCAAATAATATGCCTTTGAATCATATTTCTGATCTTGTCCCAATAAAAATAGAGCATTATGTGTTAGCAATGTTGATACTAACTTGTACTCTACTCCTCTAGGAGGTCAACAATCGAACAAAACTGTTTTGATATTTATGGGCCTCAAGGCAGGTTCATAATATCAGACATTTGTACAATTATTGGCTGTCTCATGTTTTTTTGACCCTTTTGATGCTAGTACGATTGAGGATTGAATTAAATAATGGAGGAGGGTGATTCTCACATGATCTATAGTTGAGTTACAATGGATTAAGTGGGTAGATTTTCAACAATTTCTCGCAGGCCATAGGGGGCAAAGGCCAAATGCTTATATAACTATGATTTGCAAGTATGATATGTTTGTAGAAATCATTTTTGACAACTATTGTGCAAGAATTCGATTTACTTCCAGTTAATAACTTTCTAAAATTAACTAAATGTATATTTGTTATACAAATCTTAGAAACATCATTAATATTTAACTTAGTTGGTGGCACCTACTTCAGCTATATTGACATATGAGGGAACACAATCATTTTCTTGATTTCATGAGCACCCACTATGACAATCCCTCAACCTTTTACAAGCATATACTCTAGGTTTGAAATTTGAGCTTCTACTGAAGAGGAAGGTGGTGGCACCTAAACATCATAATTCCCATGAGAGTTGTATGAGTGGTTAAAGTACCATATATTTGAGGAGAAATTACATGGAAACACATGATTTGACTCACTATGAAAATGCTACAATATAACCTAGTTCATATCTTTACTTCTAATTTGAAACATGATTGTTAATTCAAAGTAATGATTCAGATCTAAATTAGTAAAATAAGTGAAAAATATCTATATGCTAAGTTTTTTCAGATATAAGTAAACTAGGATAATATATATACATCCATGTATTACCCCAACCTTGTTCCTAAAGTAAATGCTCTAATCAATCATATGATTCAGTACAATCAACCTTAACTAAATGTGAAATTGTGAATACCACTTTAGTTCCCAATTAGATTAATGGGCATCTTTATACATAGTGTAATTATTACATTTTTTTTCTTGAAGAAAGATGAGGTCTTAGATTTACCTCATATGAGTCTACAGTGGTTTAATTGATTGAGGTTACCAATCTTACGACATTGGTGTCCCAAAGAGGTAGAAGTTTGGAAAGATCCTCTGAATGTAATTATTATGCAAATGAATGAGTTAATCAATGTGTGGGAATCAACATTAGAGATGGAAAAATAGAAGCAAATACAACAACAGAATAAAGGCAAGGATATACAAAGAATGAAGGATGAAGAAATCATGCTATCAAGTGCTTCAAACATCAGTTGTACTTGAATATGATATTTATTTGGGGCCACACCAAGACCAATGAGAAATGCTAATAATAGTTGTACTTCCCCAAGGGTAAAGATGATGTGAGATGGTTCAAGCTTCAGGTAATAAAAAACTTACTAGATGGTGTGGTTTGTTGAATCAACAATCCTTTGTGGGGCATCTTGATTCAACACAACCCAAAAAACCAGATAGCTCTTATCATCTTATAAATGAGATAAAGAACATAGGAGTATGATGGCTTCATCTTTGTCATCAATTTTAACACATTATTTAAATCTATACTAATCTTTATGAACTCATTTAGATGAGTAGCAACAACTTCATCTTGAGCCGTCAAATATTGAAATACTTTGTTTTTCATGGAATACTTAAAGTGTCAAATTTTAAGATTTATATGGACTTAATTGCTATTAACTATGAACGCAGATCGAATATAAAATTAAGACCAAAATTAAATATTATAATACTAATTTGTTAAAGAAAAACCTACTAAAGACTTGCAACACAATGCTCATGATTCATGCAATGTGAAGTAGGAAAAAAAGAAAAAGATTGTTTCACAATAAGAGTACTGACACAAATTTATTAAGCCTTTTTGTGTGTCTTGGTTATAAGACATTGAGTTTGTGAGAATTTGCTAATGACTTCTCCCTCATTGCAAGCCTGATCTTTCCATCTTGTAGTAATTAGGCGTTTAGTGCGATGACCTAAAAGCTGAGAACAATTAAATGACACAGTCAATTAAATAATCTCGTGGAAAACATGTCTAATATTTCGCTGAATGAATTAAATATTGTCCTTGAAATAATTACATCCGACGAAAAGGCGAAGACAAAAACTACATTGCATGAAAACAAGAGTAATAACTCTTACTGAGAGCCTAGCCTGGAGTATCATCGAAAAAGGTCCAATAAGAACATAGGGAAACATGCATCAACGGTTCAGCTTGTGTCCTGGTTTTTGGACATTACGTCCGTGAGATTTTGGGCGAACGGTTCACCGGAAGCCTCACCTCTCCGACTTGCATTAACAAGGTATTTAGTGGGATTACTTAAAAGCCGAGAGACATTAAATAACACAATTAAATAATCCCATGGAAACATGTTTAAAAATTTCGTTGAATGAATTAGATAATGTCGTTGAAATAATTACATCCCATCGTGGCCGTAACCCCGAAGGGTAACGTGGCTCAACAAGAAGAGTGGGGCTGGCTATCTGTGAACGATGGATTCGACACCGTGCGAGATACGAAATTGATTCAATTGAGAAGGCAGCACTGGCAGGCGTACGATGACAAAAGAAAATTTAAGTTCCCACTGCCTCTCTGCCACTTAACGACGGTCCCCTTCGTTCTCCCGAAACGGCCAATTTTCAAGGCGTCCGATCCATACGGCTGCTGCCGTAGCGCCATCCCATGTCGATTTACCGACGTACTTCCCCCACGGTAAGACTCGAAGACCACCAGAAGTTATTCCATCACGCGGAAGGGGGCCACAATGGAGGGTTTTTTATAAGAGGGGTTACTTCCAACATCTTTCTTGCTCAGATCCCAGGACATCATATGTTCCGCCGAGGGTGATCCGGGGGGACGAGTATCGAGAGGAAGAAGAGGGGGAAGAGGAAGAATGGGGAGAAGCCCATGCTGCTCTGAGGAGGGTCTCAACAGAGGAACATGGATGGCTGAGGAAGACGAGATCTTGGCGAGATATGTAAGGGTCCACGGAGAAGGAAACTGGAGGAGCCTCCCGAAGCGAGCTGGTGAGGATATCTCGACATTTCCCTCCATTTGTGGTCACCTATGTGATTCCTCACAGAGAGCGTGGTACTCACTGCACTGATATGTTGCGCAGGGCTGAAGAGATGTGGGAAGAGCTGCCGTCTACGCTGGCTGAACTATCTCAGACCGAACATCAAGAGAGGCAACATATCCGAGCAAGAGGAAGACCTCATTGTCAGACTGCATAAACTTCTTGGAAACAGGTCTCTCTCTCTCTCTCTCTCTCTCTCTCTCTCTCTCTCTCTCTCTCTCCCCCCCCCCCCCCTCCCTCTTCCTCTCCTTTCTCTCTAGGCTATTTTCCCGGTACTGTTGAGACCAAATCCAGGGAGCCATGGGATCCAGAGATGGAAGGCGTGGGTTTCCATAATTACATGTATGAGTTCTCCATTAGAACAAGGTTTTCTAGCTTAATCATAGTCGAAAAGCAGAATTTTAGCGATAGTCTTCAGGAGGGGATTCACCTTCGTTCGGGGGGTCTTGATGTTCGGGGCGGGGAGGGATGAGTGACAGTTAAACCCAGAGACCACCTCTGGACAAAAGCCGTGCACAGGAACCGCCGAAAGCAAGAGGTCCCTCATTCACGTGAAAAAGGACACACGAGTCCATTCTCTTCCCTCTGAAACATCCCGAAAGCATTTTTAAAAGTGCGGAGCTCTTCATTCAGTACATCGTCCTTCCCTGGAAGCATATTCCCCTTGCGGGAATATCAACGTCGTGACTTTTTTCATGTTTGGATCGTGGTCCATTAGTCTGGTGGGAGAACCCCTTCCCCTCTTTTTGTCCTCCGCTGGCATCCTCTGGACCAAGTCCAGACCTAAGAAAGGCGCAAACTGTGGGCTATTACTTGAGATGCTTTCATTATTACCGAACAGCTGAAGATTACTTCAGAATTTCCTCCGCTCTCTTCTTGGTACCCCCCTCGTATTTGATGTCAGTCCCAGTATGGCTTGATCAGATCGTAATTGTGGGGAGCTTGCAGGTGGTCTCTTATCGCAGGACGGCTGCCCGGCCGAACAGACAACGAAATAAAGAACTATTGGAACACCACCTTGTGGAAGAAACTGCAAGGTCGGCCGCTCAGAGCGCCCAAGCAAAGGAAACCACTCGCTGAGGCATCGTCTCAGCTGCAGGCTTCGGCCGATCCCTACGAGAGGCAGCTGCAACCGCCGTCGGGTGATCTGCAGACTCCGACGAGTCCCTTGTTGAGCCATACGCCGAAAGAGTCGACTGTGGGACTCGGTCTCGCAAAATTTGGCGATGTTCCCCAAGTCGGAGCTGGTGACGGAAGCAGCAGCTGCCACTGGCAGGTGGAGAGCGTCTCCGACGAGGCCTTATGCGACAGAGCAGCTCTAATGGACTGGTTGGTCGACGAGGGAAGGGGCCACGAGATTCTGGGCGATTTCCAGTTCATGGCCTCCTTCCTTGATTTGGAGGAGTGGATGTGAACGTGTTCAAAACTTCGGAAACCAAGAATAAATTCTCTGTTGGGGTGTGGGGGTCGGGGGGTGTATTATAGTAGGAAGTTTGCATAGTCGATCCAACAACATCACGGGCGTATTGCACGATTAGAAATAAGTCGCCATGTTCCTAATGGGTTGGAGGACAGTCTGATCTCCATCCTCCATGAAAACTGTATCTCTGCCTAGTATGCATCCTTGTCCACTACCATGGTCTTATCATTTTAACCACATCATGGACATGATATTCATTGGTAAGGTTCTGAGTTAGCAAAGTACTATATTATTTATTCATTCATTTTATTTTAACCCCAGCAGAAGAAAACTGTTAAAATAACATTCTATATAGGAATACATTCCGATTCTCACCCTAAAACAAAGCTTTACATAAATATATCGAAGCACTAAAGATTTGCTTCATATGCGAGCCATAAGATTTAATGCGAGGCTATCGAGATTTCATATGAGAGCATGAAAGACCAGATACGTACACATAGTGCCATTTTTGCAGAATAATTTATATCGTTTTCTTCAGCTAGATTGTCAGTGAGTCTGTTGAAGTATAATTGGAAGCACCGGAAAATAAAAGATAAACCATTGAGACATCACACGCAAGAGCAAGATCTCCCAGGGACTCATCACCATTAATGTATGGATGACCAATACCATTTGGAATGCAGGGTGGCTCGGAAGCCGTGCCTCGGGAACCACGCCCACTGCCGGTGGCCGCTAGATCCGTCAGCCACCAGAGCGAATCCAGTGGTCCCGCGGGGAAGGGGGGAGACCTTACGCTGTCGCTGATTGGCACAACGAAGTGGTCTTTTGTCTTAATCCGTCGGCGGGGCTACGCCTCAACGTGGTGGTAGGCCATCTACTTCGTCGCCATCTGACTCAGCCATCTTCCGGCTGTCGGTGTCCTCGCGCTTACTGCTATAAGGTGGCCCCTCTGAGAGGAAACCCTGTTCATCCAGGATTTAATTAATTTATCCTGCTAGATAGATGATATCAAATTGGGTCTATTCATACTTATTTTATTCATTCTTCTGTTTTCTATTTTGCAAATGATGGGTAACCGTGTAAACAAGTGAAGAGCACGTGACGTCCTCACCGAGAAATGAGGAATTAAGAGCGATCGCAGTCACCATTGTCCCCAATGGGCTCTTATTTATTAATTCCCACCTTGTAGAAGAATTAGTTTGCTAGGATCTTTATTCTACGGAAGATTCACACACATAGATATAAACTTTAGAAGCATATGAAGCATTAGTTTTCCAACTGAAAGGTAGGGCCGTAGTACTATTGAGCGTTGCCTTTTCTAACAATAAGAAAATATTCTCAGAATATAAAAAAAAAGAGTACTGACAACTCAAACCTACTTACTTTCCCAAGATTCATCCCCAAGAAACGTATGTTCATACTAGTCATTCTTCCAAATGTTTTCGGGTTCCATCTTCGTCTTTCGTGCATCCACTTGTCAAACAGCAACCTTAGTCTACACTGCAGTCTTTCTGAGGCCTCCAGAGGCTCTCAATATATTCATGCTCTCTTAACAAGCCGTCGTCAGTCGGTTGCACTTGCTTCCTTCTCGTACAGCATCTTCATTTCTTACAATACTATTTTGCATAGCCATAAATTGCTCACTATAATTCGGCCGGAGGACGTGCGACCTCCACATTGGACCAAAAAACCCCGATTTTTTACTCATGACCAAGTGCCACATGGACGCTTACTCTAATTCTTTGTTGGGAACTCTCCGACCGTAATGGACAGCAACAAACGGATAGGGTAAATCCTGGCCGCCTAGGGTTAAGGGTCTTCATTCATAAGATGATGAACATAAAACTGGTATGGACCCGATCCCTGTTGTTCTCATATTACTCTGCTTCGAGATTGCACCTCATTGCTTCTCCTCAATTGAGTGCTCTCTCTGGTCACGCCTTCAAAGTTATCGTCCGGACCCTATATGGAAGTATGTGCGTTTCTCCTGGTTGTAAATATTTGGAGGAAATTATCTGACTGGATGAAAGGCATTATTGTTTTAGGCGACAAAGGAAGTGACGATTTTTGATAGAGGGAGAGAGAGGACGAGAGAGCGAGAGCGAGAGCGAGAGAGAGAGAGAGAGAGAGAGAGCACTGCATGTCGTCATCGTCTTCTACACTGCTATTTCTACTTGATAGAAATCGGGTTTCATAAGTTAATTACATACTCTGCATTCTAAAGGGTCGGCATTCATTTTGACACAATTATATTGAACTAAAGAATAAGATATTGACCATGGAGGCAACATAGAACACGTTCATCACAACATAAATACATATTAGCTACAATTTCAATTTATATAAGCAAAATTTACTTTAATATGATTCTCAAAATTATCTTATGAAATAATCATATTGTCAAGAGACGTTCTCGACTAAGTATTCAAGTTTCTTGACCCATCAATCCATTTGATCCTGGGAGAAGAGACAAACAGACGAGTGTGAAAATATGGGGACCTATTAAAACCCCGACTTAGGAAGGGGGAGACAGGTTTGTCCTCAAGTTGAAGAAATGGCTCTAGCACGGATCCCTTAACCCTGCACATCCCTGTCCATGGCGAGTATGAAAACATGGGGGATGCATGAAGACCACCCTCAGATGAAGAATGAGATGCTCCGTTCTGGAAGAGCCAGAAATGGCTCCGTCATGGATCTCTTCGGAACCCACATCCTTAGTCATGGCGACCACGAAAACGTGGGACTTTTCTTGAGAAATCCGGCAGAAGTGGGAAATAAAAAGAGGAAGAGGAGACTGGATGTCCGCAGGAAAAGCTGTAGATCCACTATGGATCTCTTTACCTGCAGCCTTATCCATCCTCTGAGATTCTATCCTATGCTGTTTTCGAAAGTAAGGGCTGCAATAGCCTCTCCGTAGCACGTCTGAACCCACAGAAGGGCCTCGGGAAAACGATACAGTTCCGTGAATCGACGTGGGAAAGCAATTAACTGGGCATTTAGGAGCGGGTTGATAACATGTTCGAATTGGAATGTGCTTTTAGAACCTAGCGTTACGAGTTTGATAATCTCGGAACTGAGAGTCCCCATGAAAGTCCCCGATAGGGATAAATTTGGATAAAATCGATTAACTTATTCGAAGAAAATAGTATGATAACTTTCCTCGCAGTTATCAGACTGAAAACTAAGTTTAACCTATGAGCGAGAGAGAAAGAGAGAGAGAGAGAGAGAGAGAGAGAGAGAGAGAGAGAGAGAGAGAGAGAGAGAGAGAGAGAGGGGGAGAGAGAGAGTTATCAAAGTTAAAGTCGGATAAATTAGAGGCGAGGTTAACCTAGTCCATCCTAACAGGTTCTGGAACGACCCTAATAAGTTACACAGTAAGACGAGGCCGCGCTTGCGCGAGGCACGTGAGAAAGTATAAAATACTAGTTAAATAATTTCCCTATGAAGGGATTGTAACATAGGGTGGTCTTTCAGCTGTCCGTCAACTGACGCGGACTGAAGACATCGCCGGCGGAGACACGGGGAGAATGAGATGCCGTCAGATCGTGTGGGACTTGGGACCGCCGCAGTCAGCTCATGGCTTTCCACGAGCCTTCCATCGCCATACCTCCTGCAGCAATTTCATGAATGGCATGTGGGGACCAGACCAAAGGGAATGGTCTACGTCAAAAAAGAATCTCCACGACAACGATCTCAATAAACAGAGCCTTTTGATCAATCATTATTTCTTCCTTGAATTAATTTTCATTTAATCAAACTACTTATTACGTTGTCACTGGAGACAAGTTAGCTGATTTAATGATGTAATAAATGGGGAGAGATTGCTCCCTTCTTGAGAACGTCTATGATAGAAATGAGCATATGATGATTAGTAAATTTATTTTCGATACTTTATTTGACAAGAAGAGATCAAATTTGGTTTTATATATACCAGTAATTGCCTACTTATTTGAATGTATATCTTTCATCGTAAGATTCATAGAAATAGTTGTTCTACGATATTTTTTATCTTGACATATTGTTTAATAATTCTTTTATTAGACAATATTATTGAACATAATTTGAACCGACTCGGCTGAGTCTTGTTGACGCCGAAAATGCAGATGCCTTAGAATCAGTGACGTATAACTTCTCCATTTCGTCGTGACATTTCTCAAATAATTGAAATATTTTATAGCAGAAGATCCTGAACTAGAAATCTCTGTAGCCCAACCTTCGAAACCATTGTTTTTACTTTTATCAGACATCCGCGTCTATCAATCGAAAGAAAATGGTGATTATCTCCCAAACTGGTAAATTAAAATTTCTGTTGGAAGTCAGAAATAACGGTAACAATATAATTTTTTTAGACAACCCATTCTTCATTCTCACTCATCAAATAGCCTACGAGGGAGCCGAAGCCCCACAAAACTCGATAAAAATATCAATGGTTTTATAAATTGGTATCATATAGATTTCAGAATAGTAACCAGAGGATGGGAAGAGCTACAATTCCCCCTCAAAATGAATGTCATAAATAGCAGCAAAAGTATATTTTTTTTAGAAAAACCTTTCTTCTTTCTCACTCAAATAGCCTATGAGGGCGCCAAAGTTCCACAATAGACGATAAAAATATAATGCTTCTATAAATATGTCTCATCTAGATTTCAGAATAGAACCCATCCGATGGGAAGAGCTACAACTCCCCCATAAAATGAATCTTTATTATGGCATCGAGGTCACCGTTTCGCCATTGGTCGACATCAAACGATGAAGATTGTTGAAGCAACCTGTCCTTCGCAACGTCTTGCACTGAAAGATTTAAATTCAATTGGTTGGAGAAAGGTGGCCTTTTGAATGTAGCCTCCGTCTTTTTCAGCTTTACGTTGGAAAAACAGCTGTGGAATTCAACAAGGTTGCCATCAGCCTTAGTTGCATGAGCATAGAGAGAGCTGACACTGAAGGTTGAAATGAAGCAGGATAATTTGCTTATCCTAATTTTTTTGTTCATATAGTATCAAATTGTTCGAAAAATTCTTAAATAGTTTGTCTAAAATCCTTTATCCGTTTGGCTTATATACTATTTTATTAATCCAGTCAGTAGGCCTTTTTCTTCAAAAACATATCTAATAATTAGTAACTCAAGAGAAAAAATGGTTGTCCTGGATCTAAACTTGTTTGATCTAAAAAGGAATGCATGATAAAATAATACAAGAATATTTGCATAATCTAATAGACAGAACGTCCTACGAGTTGACGTGGTAATATGGATTATTAAATATGAAGAGATATGTATAGATGGGGATAAGAATCTTCTTCAGACTATGTTCAAGGCAGATGACTCTCAAGAGTCCTAAATCGAACCCTTGTTTTGGAACTGTATTCTTTTCTCAGTTCGTGAAAGCTCAATCTAAGCCCGGTTGCATTCGTCGTCGGAGCTTCAAATTGAATGGGTAGCATCAGTCTCACCTTAGCAGGCCAAAACACCATGTTAACGTTGAGTTGAACCAGCTCGACTCAGAAAGGCCTAGATGCAGAACCCGTTCTTATCTAACCACCCAACCCAAGTCTTGGCGGGGGCCGATTGATACCCATCTAATTGGCTGCACCCCATCTGAATTCCATGTCCAAATCATCGCAGGGGCCAATTGATACCCAGCTGCACCCCACCCCCCATCCCACCAACTCTCGCCACAGCCAACACATCTCTTCCGCTCTTGGCCACATCATGTCGACCGAGATCCAGTTAGATCCCTCGTAGACACGTGTCAGGGGGATGAAAGTTTTGGCAGGAATATGAAACGTTGAGAGATGCCCCACCAGGGAGGCTAATGAGTTTGTTTATCGCATGCATTCACCAAACATGTTAGGTACAGAATTATTTAATAATATACCCATGAAGACATCTATATTGTAACATCGTTTCTACCATCCACTCAACCAAACATCTATATTTCTACTGTTTATCGCTACTTGCACGGTTTTTCCTTGATGGTTCATTGACGATTAAATTTTCCCACGTTATATTCGCCAAGTTTCCCTTGGACCGGGTGTCACGACCCCAGAAAACACCTGGGCTCTCCGAGCCCTCCTCCAGGCTCAAGGTACATTTTACCAGGTCTGGCCAAGATCCACATAGTAAACTGGAAAAGATGATTCGGGCTTGACCCATTTCCGCCAAGCTGATGAATATATTGCCTACTGCATTTAGATGATATAAATTTCATGCGAACGACCGGGAGGATTTGCAGTAGAAAAAAGAGCCTTGGACTTCTCGGTCAGATCATTTTAAAGTTCTACAAAAAGTGACTAGGCTAGTTCGGATGTATTTTTGCTTTCCGATCTAGTTTTTTAAATTTAAGCCCTCCGAGGGGTTGGTCAGCACAGTTATACCCCTTTACTGAAAATATTCCTGATTTTTATATTTTTCGGCAATACCAGGCTTCGATCGCGAAATGTAGGGAACCCTCGCGTGGGAAGGAAACGTTTCGTGTGGCCACAACCAATTAAGAGCATTGGGCCATTTATGCTAGAATTACGGTAACACCAGAATATTAGGGTATGAATATTTACTAGAAACTTTACTTTGATTAGCTCGTACTATATTCCTTAATTAAACTCAATATAATTTGAGCATGAAATTGTCACCCAGCCCTCATCTCGGAATGTTCTCTTGATGCACGTCATCGATAACGCGCTACCAACTCGTCAAAGATGGTGGGCATGCTTGGAACTCGTGATCTTTCTCATTTCCGAAATCGCCTGTATTTTGGAATACCTTTTGGAAAACGGCACGCGACAATGATTGATAATGGAAAGAGAAAGACCGCGTCAAGTACGTATGAATGTGTGAGAGAGTGAGAGAATCGGCACGTCTTCTTGAAGTTTCCATAGCCAACTGCGGTAACAAAAACCACGGGGCGCTGAGAGAGAGAGAGAGGAGGAAAGGTTGGTTGGGATGAAGCAAACGGGTTGAAGGGTTGATGAGGAGTACTTGAAAGAATGCCCAGTCGTAAGAGGAGATCACCCTTTTGACGAGCATATATCGTATAAAAGTATGGTCCATGATCACACGCAGGCAGAGAGAGAGAGAGAGAGAGAGAGCCAACTCATGACATGGTGAATCGCCCGCGGAAGAAGGGTTAAGTAGAAATGGCTGTCGAGATTTCACTAGTTCAAGAAGCGGACACGGACAGCTAACAGTCAAAATTATGGTGTAAAGACTAATAATGATCTCTCTCTGATGAAGGGGAGAGAGATATCCATTTTACTGTTTCTGCACCATCCAACAAACCCTCCTCCGCACGTTTCAAGAATAATAATATATTGGTGTCCCATAATCGAGATCGATGACCCCGAGTGGTGTCCGTTTATTACCACTTCTGTTCATGCGGAAGAGAGGTGGCTATAACGTAGGAGAGTGAGCGAGCGGGCAAGCGAGCGAGCAAGCGAGAGAGAGAGAGAGAGATGGGGAGGAGGCCTTGCTGCTCCAAGGTGGGGCTCAACAGAGGAGCGTGGTCTGCGCAGGAAGACAAGATCCTGACCGACTACGTCCAGACTCATGGCGAAGGCAAATGGAGAGACCTCCCCGAGAAAGCTGGTACGTATGATGGTCCAAACGAAACCCTGAAATGGAGAACCTATGTGGCATGAGGTCCTCTTACTTCATCCTCTCAGGAATCTCCGATACTAATCTACATTCGACGGTGCTCCTTCCAAATCGTTATCGATAATTCGGCATTATTTTTCCGAAAAATGATTCAAAATAAAGAAGATTATGGAAAGAAATCGTAGTTTTGACCTTGGAATGACTTCAAGGATTGAAACGATGCGGGAAGAGCTGCCGCCTTCGGTGGCTGAACTATCTCCGACCCGACATCAAGAGGGGGAACATCTCCGAGGACGAAGAGGACCTCATGATTAGACTCCACAAGCTCCTTGGAAACCGGTAATCTAGGCTCCCCTCTTACTTCCTTTAAGAGCAATCGCTGGGAGTCAGGTTATTGAAGAAAGCTGAATATTTACTCGCAGAATTCTTTTTGTTAGGTCGGCATTGGACTCTTCTAGTTCTTCATCAGGTTCTCCTTGAATACCGATATCTGACTCTCTCCGTTCTTGCAGATGGTCCCTCATAGCTGGAAGACTCCCCGGGAGGACTGACAACGAGATCAAGAACCACTGGAACACCAACCTCGGTAAGAGAGCGTCCCCATCGGTTTCCCCACAGCCAGATGCGAGAGAAATTCCCGAGAGCCTAAAGAGAAAAACATCGGCGGTGGGATCCACGCCTCTACTGGCTGCGTCAGCTCATGGGGTGATCCGGACTAAGGCCGTCAGGTGTACCAGGCCCCTCCTCTCAACGCCGGAGAATGCTCCGCCAATGGCTCCTCTGGCAGACAACGACGATGGCTTCCTAAACTTTCTGGGCGACTTCAACGTGGACGAGTTCATGCAGGGCTTCCGGGAAATCGACTTCCCTAACGACGATAATCTGAGCAGTGCAACGTCGTCTCCGCTACAGCAGCTCTTCCTGATCGGCGGAGAGGTTCTAGAAGGCTGTGGCGGCTCCCCGATCCAGCCAAGCTCAACCATGGACACGAGCCAGGCTTCAAAACAAGAAGAGGGACTGCTGTGGGGGCGCTGCAGTGATGGGCATGGCTTCCCGGTCGAGCTAAGCCCCATCTTTCTTCCTGTCTCTGAGGATTTCTACTGGAACTAAAACTATATCAACTTGGTTGTTCAAGGAGATTCTCGATCCGTTAAATCAAATCGAATAATCCTGTATAAGCTGGCGTTGAGGGGCCTGCTTCATGTTGGGGAATTTGTCCGATGTGGACGCTGGTGCAAAGTGAATGAGGGAACTTCAATATTGGTCGTTCTCGGGTTAAACTCTTTGCTAAATAACACCCGTCCGTCAAATGTCAACTAGATATCCAAATGTCAACCGAGAACTACTGATAACATCGACCTATCATAATGCAATCGCGAGTCTGTTAGTACAGTCGATTTCCTTAGTGAGTGTGACCGGTCAGCCTCCTTCGGTCGTGCTGTCTAGCAGGCCATCAGTTGGAGACTATCTTGTAACGCTGACCACTCGGTCAATTCTACCTTTGCTTATACGGAAAATTTGAGGCCAAATGATATAACTATAATTTTTAAGAAGCTAGATAAATGAGCCATCGTCCCACTTAAAATCACATAGCAGCGTTTCAGAGCATAAAATCCATTTATTTTTTTAAAACATATTTATGATGATTGTGACCTATAGTCCGTGCTGTACCCCCTTGTTGGAGGAGATATTGCAAGGCTACCTGATTAATAACATGCTATTTTTCTGACTGTTCGTGAAAGTATGCTATTAAACGACGAACTAAACCAATTTTAAAATGATCATGTGTTCTAGTCTTTAACTGGATACTTTACTATGTCTTCTGGCATAAAAATATGGCCCAATACGTCATTCGAGAATTATCTTGCGAATTGATGAAACTTTATGAAAAATATATGGCCTGATTATTGCGAAAGTAACTTCTTTTTTAAAAAATTGTCACGTTTTGGATGATTTGATGGTGTGCGTCAGCAGTGTCTCTAGTCATAAACTCAAATAAGATTACTTAAAACTTTAATAAGTATGATATGAACGAAAAAGCTGATTTTCATGCAATTACAAATGCAAACTAGTGGCCAATCAAATGCTCCGCCACTTATTGTCTATTCTCTTATTTTCTACTCTCTCTCTCTCTCTATCTCTCTCTCACCTACTCTCACCAATCCGAATCTGACCTGGGAATCCATGTTACGCGGCCCCCTACCAGGAGAAATGCCTGAACAATAATTTACTGCAGTGAGTGAGTGAGTGTGTGTAAGAGAGAGGGAGAGAGAGAGAGAGGGAGAGAGAGAGAGAGAGAGAGAGAGAGAGAGAGAGAGAGAGAGAGAGAGAGAGAGAGAGAGAGAGAGAGAGAGAGAGAGAAAGGGAGAGAGACACTTTGGGTGTAAAGAATGATAACCACATTGTAAGGAAAATTGATGGCAAGACCTGCCTAAAACTGAACAGATCTTCACTGTGCAATTAAAGTTCGTCTCCCTTTTCTCTCGTGGGGTTCAGTTTCTGGCACATGTAGGCACATATTAATGTTGCCAACGATATACAAAACAATGGCTTTCAGAGGCCCACCTAACACAAACATGACTTGAACGACCGTCGGGTGGGGGAAGGGGGTGGGCGCCCGGTTTGGCGTACAGTACTGATCCGAAAGAGGCGGATCTCCGTGAGAGTTCCGGTCAGCTCGTTTTCTCCAACTTCATAGATCCCATTCAAGCCCACCAATGCTAAGTGGTTTCATGATCGTACCATGGCATAAATGTGAGAAATTAGATGTGCAAATCATATTGACTTCAAATATTTAGAGCATTTAGTGTCTCTTGGTGGCATTATCTGCAACATATTCTGAAATTTCTTCCCCCCCTGCCAGATGAAGTATTAAAGATGGAGATTGGCAACTGAAACTCTTGAGGAATAAACATGGTCAACTAAGTTAATGGCTATGGTTCCTCTTTCTAATGATCCTGGTTCCATAACTTCTATAAACGTGGCAAAAACAAAATTCATATGTTCACAAACTTTTCCAATTTTGGGTGCTTCAAGACTTTTTCAATGGGAGTTTCTGTACCCCTTTTCTTTTTTTGTGACCAATCTATTTACTTCCACAGTTTTTATCAACTTATTTTGTTTCTCTCTCTCTCTCTCTCTCATCCCATTTTTAGATAGATATTCAGACATTATACCCTTGGTAAGACTTCATTATAGGGGATAAATCATAGGTTGATCGAGCACCTAGAGAAGCGTACGTAGCACCCATTATGGCATGACCTTCGGTAATTAGGTTAACCATGGATGATGATGAAGAGTGGGGTCAGAGTGAATACTTACAACGCACTGTTGAGAAAGGAAACTACTCACATAATACGTAATTTTGGCCACTAATGTACAAATTAATCAGGTGAGAGAAAACATGAGACGATAAAGTTACGAAAAATAAAATAAAACCTTCCCAACTTCGAGAAAGAAGATGATTCATAATTGATGTAGATGAGCATCTTATAGGTTAATGTGGACGTATGGACTCCCACCGGATGATTTTATCAGGCGCTTACTTGGTTCTAAGTTAAGCCTTATCTCCCTATAAGTTAAATAATAGTATTCAAAGATAAAATAATCACATATTTTTACGATCCGAGAGTCTAGGATTCGTGGGAGAACATCCCTCCCCTCGCTTGCAAAACTCAAAGATTAGCGTAGAATGGCAGGCAGCAGTGCCAGAGACGAACACACACCAGACGCATTTTAACGTGGTCTAGTACAGATAATCGGACCGGGTTTACTATCCTTGTAAGAGGAACAAATACATTCGGGAAATAGTCATTTAAATAATTCAATGGAAATTTAATTTGGAAGAGAGAAAAACCTTGTAAATAATTCAGCCTTCCAGGGGATCTGGGCAGCTCAGCGTGGGCAGGGGAGGGACGACGAAATCGACGGTAACCACGCTCTCCGCCGCCGAGCTTCCTTCAACCTCCAGCATCGGGAGCTCCTCCGAGCTCGGAAACGCCCAGAGAGACGCCACCGCGAAGCCATCCGCCCTCGCCGGCGAGAAGTTCTCCCCGCCGGTGACCTGCTCAACACCCCGGGACGAAGCTCCCGCTTCCCGGAGCGCCGCCGCCACCTCTGTCCTCTCCGCCGCCGCTGCCCCCTCCCTCAACCTCGCCAGCGTCACCCTAACGGCGGCGGAGGGCCTCAGCCCTACCTCCGTCGCCGTGTCGAGCTCCGCCACCCAGTCGACGGCCACGAGGCCCTCGCAGATCCCGGCGCCGAAGTCTCTCACCACTTCCAGGTGCGCCGGGTGGGTGGCGTAGGCGGCGAGGTCTGCCGCCGTGCGGTAGCGGCAATGCAGGGCGTGCGTGAACTGCAGCGGCCCCCGGCAGCGGAGGACGGCGGCGGCGGCGAGGTGGGCGACGACTTCCAGCGCCGCCAAGGAGCGAAGCCCCTCCAACCAGGAAGCGACGGCAGCCGGATCAGCGCCGTCCTTAATGCGGAAGAGCACCACGTGTTCCACGACGGAGGCCGGAGACATCTTCCTCTTCCTTCCTCTTCCTCCGTTCTTCGATTGGCGCGTTGACCGTCTGTCTATTTGGCCTCGTAATGGAAGTCTGGGGTCATTTCAGTGGGCCCCGCCTGGCAAGATATTTCTCTGCAGCGTCTTGCGGATCACGGCAGAGGAGATCCGTGCGGATCCGACTTAACCCGTCTCTTTCGGTGGATTTATATCGGTCGATTCGGGCAAGACCGAGAAGAAGATCCGAAAAGTTGCCGTCACTCGCGCGGTGACCGTTCTCCGGCGACGAGGACGATGGGCGCCAGGAGGCCCACACACGTCACCTCAGTGCACAGCTTTACGTCATCTTTTTGTTTTTTTACCTCATTGTCTTTTCCATCGGTTTTTCTATTCCCTCTAATTAACCACCCCTCGATTATTATTATTATTATTAATATCAAACATTATTAAAGCTTAGGATGCTAATGACTTGATCAACGTTTACTAAACATGGGTTGTGGAAAACTGTTTATATTATATAAATATTTTTAGAGGAGAGAGAGAGAGGACAGCCACGTGGATATTTTTGGAAAAAATAATAAAGTGGGAAAATAAATGAGGACGATTACGTGGTGTTTAGAACAGGAGGGAATAGAAGGATGAGGTGACCGTAATTTCGATACCGGGGGTAATTTAGGTATTTCTAGGATCAAATCACGTGATGTGGATGACATGTAATGGGCCGGTGGAACAGTTGTTGCCGAAAATAGATATTTCCTAATATTTTATGCATGATTTCCGAAGGCGAGGACAATAATGTCCGAAGGCGGCCGACACCGTGGGCGCCGCCAGATCAGGGGATCCGATGATCTCGAGAACTGCGGCGCACCGCTGACGTGGCAATACCCGGCGCTGCGTAAAATAGCAAATGGCTGCGGTTAAAGGAGCAGGTTTAATACCAGAAAATCTACGCTAAAAAGCTCCGAAGAGTGAGAGAGAGAGAGAGAGGGGAGGAGAGAGAGGAGAGAGAGGAGAGAGAGTTCATGCCCCAGTCTAGCCCTCAGCCCTCCCTCTCTCTCTCTCTCTCTCTCTCTCTCTATCTCTAGGCGCCTCCTGAAGGGTTTCGAGTTCCAGGAATCAGCGGCTCCAGCGTCGTGCAGCTAGGGTTCGATCGAAATGCCCGGATTGTGCGAGGTAAGCCCCCGGAGACGCGGAAAATGTCGGATTCGTGGGGTTTTCCCGGTCGCCGGAGAGGGGTTTCGGGGCGAGAATCCGGGGATCTTCTCTTCGCCTTCTAATCGGAGGGGTTTTGAGATTTCACGGCGAGATAGGGTTTCTCTCCTCCGATTTTTCGGCCGTAATTCTGCGATTTTCTCGGAGAAGCCCTCTGCTTTCTCTCTCCGTCTCAGCACCTTGGTGCCCCTTCGGTGTCCCCCCCCTTTCGGCCGTAACTCCTCTTTTTCTTCCTCCTCCCCGCCCCCTTTCTAATGGCGATGGGGTTCTCGGTTGAATGCCTGGAGCTTGATTGTTATTATGTCAGTACAGGCAATCCGCAGTCATCTGCTCGCTGGCCCCTTTTCTTCCTCGGCCATGGACAGTTAGTTCCCCCGTTTTCAGAAGCTCCACTGTCTCATCCCCCGGCGCGAGCATCTGGGTCCCCATGGATGGAACCCTAGAATTATCTCCTACCTCCTCTGGGTCTGAGCTCGGTCTTCTCCGTGGCAGGTCGGGTTCTGAGGGGGGGAGGCGCCTCCGGTGGAGGATGGAGGGGGACGCCGCCGTGACGGGGCTGGGGAATGGTGGCGCCGCCGCCCAGGTGGACGGGAAGGTGCTGCAGACGTTCCAGAAGAGCTTCGTGCAGGTGCAGAACATCCTCGACCAGAACCGCCTGCTGATCAACGAGATCAACCAGAATCACGAGTCGAAGATCCCCGACAACCTCACCCGCAACGTCGGCCTGATCCGGGAGCTCAACAACAACATTCGCAGGGTCGTTGACCTCTACGCAGACCTCTCCACCTCCCTCTCCAAGTCCGTGGAGACCTCATCGGAGGACAACTCCGCCGCCCGCCCCGCCGGCAAGAGAGTCCGCCCTGCCTGAACGGGTCGCCGGAATTTCCATTCTTTCTCTCAGATCGGCGAATCTCACCCTCTCCCCACCGCGCCCGCTTACTTACGCCCCTGGTTTTATCGGCTTAGAAAGATCTTCTTCTTCTTCTTCTGCCCTAATAATTCCAGATGATTACCTGCTTACTGTTCTCCCTGTAGATTCCAGTTCTCTCTCTATTCTCTCTCTCTTCTGCCCCTGCGAGAGGCCGTGTGATTTCCATGAAAGACGGTGCGGGGGAGGATGTTCTCCCTGAATTAGGGTTAATACGAGGTCTCCATCTTCGTCTTCCTCCTTTCTGCCTGGGATTATTATTAGGGTTACCCCTCTCGCAGATCTGTTCTGGGGAAGATCCTGAGGAGTTAGATCCTGAGGAGTTAGATCCTGGGGTTCCAGGATTAGGTCGGACCGAGTCGCCTTCGGGCCTCATTGGCGGCGCCGTCGTCGTTGATTTGAACGGTCCAGATCTGATCGGGCCCACAATTGCCACAAGAAAACAAAGTTCGACCTTTTCCCTCCTCTTTGTGCTTATCTCATCATGCCACCTGCCTCTGCGATATATATATGTGTATATATATTCATAGAGAGAGAGGTAATCCACACGAGCTGATTGCAGCAGCAGGATATGATTGGGGGAGCAGGGTGGGCGCAAGGGGGAGGGCAGAATCTCGCACGTGCAGGAACACAGGGGGACCTGGGCCGTCGGATGCGCCACGTTGACTGTTCGGCGTGTGGGATTCTACCAGCTGGCGGTTTGTTCCGTGAGACCTCGGGAACACCCGGTGGATGGTCCAGACAACGTCAACGTCTGGGGTCGGAAGGTTGTCGCTTCGTGCGAGGCACATTGCATCGAGTCTTCGTCGCGTGGACCACGTCAATCCGTAACGTGAAGATCTCGGAGAGGGCGCTGTGGGCCCAGGGAAAGTCAAACCTCGTCGAAAAAACAGGGATCTTTGCGCCTTCCCGAGAGCCTCGTCTAATTGGTCAACGGCTGACTGACTTTCCTCTCCGACTTATTTTTCAAGCCCAAATAAAAATTAAGTAAATGGAAAAATAGCCACCGAAATTTTGTCCCCTCCAAAAAACCAGAATTATCTCTAAAGATCCCAATTTTTCAAAGACAATTTCTCAACATGCTCCATTTTTATCATCATAGTAATTAATTTTAGGGCATTATTTTCATAAATAAGGTAGACCCCCTTCGTCAACGAGAAGGGGAGTTGACTGAGATAGCGGAGAAGAGGCGAGATGAGACTAGCGGTTCAGGGTGACAGATAATGCAAATGACAGGATGATCCAGGCTAACAGAAAGTACCCAACAAGCCTCGTGGGCTCTACGTCTTCAGGTTCCTGCAACGCACGAAAAATCTCAGTGAGATCAGATCATGAGCAACCTAAACAAGGCCTGCCTCTGAATTAATCAGAAGATCTTGTTGAATCATTAGTGAGCTTCATCATTGCAGTGTTAGATTAGGTAGGGGATGATGTTCCAAGCAGTCTGTCAGCTTGACAAGAAACGGATGATCATGGAATGAGTTGCAAGATTCTGGCTCGTTGGCCAGGAGATCAGAAAATAAAGATGATAACAGTATGTTTCTTCATCAAATATCTCACATTGAACAATACCCAACTACTTAGGGCAACCATCAGGCGATGAGCTAAGAGTGATGATGAGCACCCACAAGAACACAGGAAGGAAAATCAAGTAAGCACCGGGGAGAGTAGCGAGTGATAAAGGCTGATACCTGTGGCGGAGCAGGCTGGGTTGGAACCTGTGTGATGTCAATCTCAAAAGGCCATACATATCTATCTGGGTTTTCGCTTCTGGCTAAACTCCAATCGTATAATCTTCTCTCTTCCTCCGATGAGAGGATGGCATACGATTCCTATCACCAAGTTGACCAATATTGTTACTTAAACACTTGAAACTAGTAAAAATAAATTTTTTAATGAAAAGATGTGTTTTCTGAAAGACCTTTAGTTGGTCTATTTTCTCGCTGACCAAGTCCTCTTCTAATCCCTGGCTCATCAGTTCTTCACACTTCGTCTTGTAAGCATTTGTGACCTAAATTTGGAAAAAGTTTCAGAGACCCAGGGGAATCGAATATATCAACTGGACATCACATATTACACCAGAAAGACGTTCATAATGGGCGAGTAGCTCATCTTTCTACATCAAATTACTTAGCGTAATCACTTGCACTGCAAGTATGATTGCCCTCTTTGCGAGATTTCTCAGTTTTCAGTCACATAAGATGGCCAAATTTGCGTTTTAAGTTCATTTTTTGGGAGAAAATTACCCCACAATTGAAAATAACAAGAATTATTCTTCAATCGACCCTACTACGAATGAGATCACCGTGGGGGATTCCGAAAATGACAAAATAACGAACGGAGGAAAACAGACGAATCGAGATGATGATGGATATAGTAACGAGATTAGAGAAGCAATGAAATCATAAAAAGTATATCCTCGGGAATAAGCGGTCTAAATAATCCCACAATGAGCATTCCACGCGAAACCATAAATCTAAGTTTCAACATATCAGCATTATGGATTTAAAAGGATGAAAACATTCATGAAACAGACAACAAACTAAAATATCGCACGAGCAACAGCTAATATAGGAATTCTCTGGGAGAATATGCACCTCATCATATGAAGTGTTCCTAGCTATTCCAAGCCTCCCATAGTGGTCGACGTCGGTGATGGCTGCACTCTAAGAAGTAGAACTAGAAAAGAGAGAAAAAAAAAAAAAAAAACCTAGAACTCGACATAATCAACAAGGACGGCATCACGCCGGCAAATCCTTACCGATCCCTCGAAGCGCCTTCTGGACGTTATCAGCAGAGATCAGCGATGACGGCAGCCTGGAGGCCTCCACGGGGCTTTCCGGAGAAGAATCCGCCGTCGCGGACCCGCCGCTGCTGCTGCTCACCTCCACTTCGTCTCCGGTCGCCGCCGCCTCAGCGAGGAATCGGATCCGGGGCCTCCGCCCCGTCAGCCGTATCCGGGAGGACGACGGCAGGTGGCAGCCGCAGAGCTTGGTCGCCGGGAATTGGAATGCGACGATCGCCATTGGCGGTTTCGGGGCGAGAAGCCGCTGCTCCTGCTTCCTCCCTCGCTCATCTCCCCCTTCCTCTTCCTCGAGCTCACTTTTAACACTATGGAGAGCGGAAGGGAAGATAAGGCTACGGAAATGGGCGATGGCCACCGGTTCGTTGCCTTGTTCTCTGCCGGTGAGCTTACCTTCCACCACCACGTATCAGTTACCCGTTACAATTACGGATTAGTGAAACAGAAGGCGGTGATGGCATCTTTAGTTCTTCGTCTTCGTTCTCTTCGTAAAAGTTTTTCAGTCCGACGACGGAGGGAGAGACCAGCGGGGGGAAGATGGAGAGGGGTGGAGGACGGCGTGGTGAGGGGGAGGCGGGGACGAGCTCTCAGTCGCCCCCAGCGAGGTTGTTCCCGCTGGCGGCCCAGCCGGAGGTCATGCGGGCGGCCGAGAAGGACGAGCAGTATGCCTCCTTCCTGCACGACGCCTGCCGCGACGCCTTCCGGCATCTCTTCGGTGCTGCCCCGGCTCAATCTTGGTTTCTTATTGTTTTATTCGGTGGTGTTTCCCCTCCTCTAATGGGAGAGATTCTTTGGTGAAGGTACCAGGGCCGCTGTAGCGTATCAGAGCGAGGTTAGCCTCCAATTCTCTCTAGATCTCGTCATCTCTCTCTCTCTCTATATCTATCTATCTATCTGCCTATCGGTCTTTTTTTTGTTTTCGATCGAGTCCCCTTTTACTTTAGCATCCGGTTATCGTTTCTATATTTCCAAATGGGAGAAATGCTTTGGAAACCGCGAGAAAACCTGGAAATAGGACTGTGCTCTCATCGGATTAGAGCAGTGCATCTTTGTTACGGGGGTGCGCATCTTGTTTAGTCTCTTGTAAGCCATGCAGATATCGACTGGATTTGGATAACATGCTCCCCAGATTAAGGTTCAACTTCCTAGGGGATTCAATATGTTCTATGATACTCCTCATTCTTTCTCATTGCTAGAATAGTATCGATGGAACAATTCTCTTTCACACTGGAAATGTTTTTTTGTGGTTTTCTATTCATTATCCTTGTCGGGATTATTTCTATTTTTGCTTTTAATTTGCATCGCAACGTGTGTGATCTAAAAAGCTCTTTTTAGTATAATCTTGCAGACGAAGCTTGTAGGCCAGACACTTTACTATCTATTAACAACAGGTTCAGGGCAGCAGACCTTAGGAGAGGAGTACTGTGACATCACTCAGGTTTGTGCAAAGTAATTTTCCTCAGATGATTTTACTGTTTCAACTCCGTGCCACTCCCTTCACCTGCCTCTATTCCAGTGAAAATATAGCGAGAAAGGTTCCTAGAGAGAGGGAGAGAGAGAGAGACTGCTTTTAGAGGCTGAGCTGACTAAGACAAAGCAGACCTTTCTCGAAGTTCGTGTTTTAAACCTCTATCTCAGTGACATGCAAACGTGAAATTCTTCTGAATACGATAAATATAGTTCAAGATCCTCTTCTGCACGAAATGCCCTCATAATTCATGGGCTATGAGCGTTTATTTTTGGTCGGGGGAGGGTACTGAAAGCAGACCTGAATACTATCCAGAAAAGGACAGATGTGACATTTGAGAATCGCAGCAGTTCATGACATCGAATCGATATTTCCTATCTGATGTCCGACAGCAGTGGGACAAAACCTCTCTGATCTTTTTGGACAGTCAAAACATGTGTTACAGGCTTTTCGTACTGTGTTCTATTAGTTTAACATTTCATATGGGTTCTGGAATCTCTTTGATGCTACAACAGTTCTAATGATCTGTAATGTCTGTGTCTAGGTTGCAGGTCAACATTCACTACCTCCAACTCCTGCAAAACGTGCCCTATTCATCATATATCAGAGTGCAATTCCTTATCTTGCAGAACGAATAAGGTTCGTTCATCTATTGGGCAATCATATAAATTGTTTTCTTTTTTTGCTCTTTACACAATCATTCGCTTCCATTTGTTTACCAACACCGAATTACAACCTTATTGTAGTACAAGGATGGCAGCCCGAGGGACACTATTGGCAGAATCTATGGAAGGATTCTATGGAAGCAGTAATTTGGAAAGCAGCCAAATTCAAACTTCTTATGGTCCTGGAGATGATCATTCATCTTCCTCCACTGTCACCATGCCTGTAGCGTTTCTTTTGAAGCTGAGGACAAAGTTCTATGGAGTTTGGTTGTGGACAGTCCAGAAGTGGCCTTCGGTATTCAACAATCTTTTCGTTTTTTCACAATACATAATTTGCAGCTTATGACCATGTTGAGGTGAAAACGAGCTTGTGCTGCAAAAAACAGATTAATTACCTAAGTACATTGCAGAAAAGAGGTGTTTATCCTAACTCTGCCTTGTTTCACATAAACCTCGAGTGTTAGGACAAACCTGGCCATTTTCCAGGTCCGTTCCCAGTTCCATGTTTTTGTGAGGTGAAATGCCTGTTATGGACACGCCCTCCTTTTTCTCTAAGAGATACAAAAATGATAGTTCTGCCTTGAGTGTTGGAGCTGTAGGGATTTTAACTTGTCTATTGAATTCATTCTTACCATGATCCTTACATTTCCTCTTGTCACTTGCCAAAGTTTCATTTTAATTTTTTTCTTTTGTGGACTTTCTACTTTTCTAGGCCCTCCCATATGTTCGAGAAATCCTACAGTTAGTTCTTCGCACCAACCTTATGTTTTTCTACTTTGAAGGTGATTTTAATTCTACAGATCCTTTATGTCAAATACTTATCTTCAACTTGTATCTTAGTCTGTTTGCTCTCACTACCAATTTTTATAAGACTCATGCATGGACACATGGAGAATCCAGATTTTGTAGCATATTTCTATACTGAATGATTCACTATCCTTTTTCATTGAATTTCCCAGGTCTGTATTATCATATATCTAAACGAGCGGCAGGAATTCGTTACGTTTTCATTGGGAAGCCTTTAAATCAGAGGCCTAGGTATAGGTTTATTCTCATCGTTTCTATGTTCTTATCTATAGTCAGTTCATTCAACATTCTATTCACTGAGACCATAGATTCTTATCTATTGTGACTAAATATTTGATGCATCCTGCACCATACGGACCTGCTTTTTTTGGCATTGGTATAACCATGAAGTGGTGGATCCGCGAGTTGTCTGCAAATTCTGGATTTTGGGTCGCGCATTTCTCGAAACTAAAGAGAGCTAGTCGCAAGTTTGGAACCGAATGTCATCAGGGGACTAGATATCACATTCTATGTGTGTCTCTTATTTAAAAGAAAAGCGTTTTGGCCTTTGGTACTATCTTGATGAAAGTGTATGTGTCTATTTCCATCCCTTTTGAGACTATTTAGAGGAATATAGGCTTGATAATGATTGCCTATGTGCTTGTTCAAAAGGTTTCCTGACGTACAGAAGACCAGGAGGAACAAAATGTGCCTTAGATCCTCAAGGGAGATAGATGGAAAATCTTAGTCATCCTGAAAATTTTCATCTTGTGCATTGCGTACTTCTTTAAATTGCACAAAGTGCTTAAAAATCACCGGATAGTGGGATCTGTTTAGAAATCTGCGGACAGATTTGACCTCCTACGTAAAAGGACATAGTTACTAAATTGATTATTAGTGACAGAGAACCCATCTTTGGAATCAGACTTGACCTATATTGAAGGAAAACGCATATTTGGAAGCAGACTTGACTCCCGTTAAAAGAAAACCGCGTTTTCGGCCTTATCTGAAGGATTTTTGCTTTGTCTTCCACGTTTTACCCTTTTGGGCTTGTACGATTTCTGTAATCTTGTTATGCATCATGTTACGCCAAGAAACTGATTTTCAAGTTCCATACCTATGAGCCTCCTCTTGTGCAGATTTTTTTTTCCTCGAGCAAGGATTGCGATAATCCAAAATATCTTGTTAATAATTTTGAGCTGTCTGTTTAATTATTTTTCAATAATCTGTATATTCTGCCTCCTGTTACTAAGTTCCTGCATTTTATTTACAAAATAAGGATTTATACATATCTGAAATTACCTTTTTTATTCAGATACCAGATCCTGGGTGTCTTTCTTTTAATTCAACTATGTATTCTCGGTGTCAAAGGGCTGCGCCAGAGCAATTTATCTTCTATTGCTAGTTCAGTTCATCAGGCATCACTGGGAGGTCGACAATATTCAACAGGTTATCCAGTTGATTTACAAAATCTGGCATGTTCCTCTATTTAGTGTTAACTTATAGTTATACTATATGCAATTCCATGTTGTTGGAAGCTCCTGCTGATGTTTGGAGTGGACTTACTGTGATTAGTTCAAGCTGGTGCCAAGTTGACCAGTGTCTGACCTAGCGTTATTACTTATTTTATCTATAGGTAGATTGCTTAGTCATAAAACGTTTGTTTTCATGTATGGGACAAACCTGTAAACCTTTGAGCATGGTGCTCCTTTTCCCCCTTCCTAATCAACATTATAATCCATGATCCACACAGGTGGAGGCCTCCCCATTCTCAATGAAGATGGAATTGCCATCACAGGTTCAAATGACAGCAGGGGTAGCTGGGCGGTTGATTCCATGCCTGCCTCGGAAGTATGCTTCTTTCGTTGTGTCCACTAATTTTGTTGTTAACTTTGGGTTACCTCTCATGATCTGTTGTTCTGTATTCAACAAGAATTTGTGTACTTAGCAATGGATGCTGCTCTTTTTTTCTCTTCTTTTTTTTCTCCAGTCACAAGCATCAGTTGGTCTGAGCAAATGTACCCTCTGCCTCGGTTCTCGTCAGCACCCAACTGCAACACCCTGTGGTCATGTCTTCTGCTGGTACTCTAACCCCTCCTCTCTTTCCTCCTTTAGGATAGGGTCCATTTTTCTTTGAACTTTAATGATGATTTCCCTGTTAATGCTTCACATTTTTGGCAAGTTTACCCATAAAAGGAATCATAAACCTTCGGAAGGGATTCATGCATCTAAGTTTCTTTTCATCAATCATGAGGAAGGACCATAGCAGAAAGTGGCATAAAAACAATAATACAAAAAAAAAATTGTGATATTTGATGATCTTCTCATGTGGGAATGATATGAGGACTCACCACACAAATCTTTCAGCTGACGATGGCTGGGAATGGAACTGGAAATCTGTTAAATTCGATCATTCCTCAAGAAGATGGATTTTATTCAACTTGGGGAAGTCAACGCTGGAAATTGTCGCAGGAATTATAGGGCCCGGTTGGATGCAAGTGAATTATATGGGTGATTTGCATCGATTTAAGGTTTAGGGAGCTCTGAAGAATGGAGTTTACAGCTCATGATCTCTAAGGACCCTATGACTTGGACGGGTTAACTCATTCCACTATTGAAATTATCCTTTTGTTTTTCTGTCGGGCGAGCATCCCCAATGCGCATCGATCTCTGTGGGGTCATATAGTGGCAGGTGATTGGCATGACGATGATTTGACCAGAGCAGATATTGGGCCGCAGAAGACACTTATCTCAGCTTTTATACTCTTTGTGGCAGTTTGTCTTATATCTAAAAGTTAGCAGTGAGATATTCTTGATTTGGCTCTCTCTCTCTCTCTCTCGTGTTGCAGGAACTGCATCATGGAATGGTGCAATGAGAAGCCCGAATGCCCACTCTGCCGCTCGCCAATTGCTCACTCGACTCTAGTGTGCATATATCATTCGGACTTCTAGTGGAGCAGCATCCCTCAGCCTTCTACGGTCCCAGTCCACACAGCCCAGTTGGTCGGCAGCGGAGGATGGCCTCCACTGAGTCAACACCTCTCATCCGGAGAAAATCAGAGGATTCTCCTCGATCAACTGAAGAGGCCTCAACGTCACTACGAGAAAAAGACCTGCAGAGCTTGTAATCCCTCGAAGGTGATATTTTCTTTAATGGGCGTGTTTTTCTTTCATAAGATCCTTCACCCCTGAGATTCGGGCCAGGCCCGGTTTTGAAGCAAGTATTGGCCTGGCCCAGTCCAGAATATGTCTGTGGCGATTATCATGAAGCATGTTGGACTTTTCTCTGGCCCAAGCCTAGTAAAGTTCAGAATTTTATTTCTTCTGCTTCACAGCTTCCAAGTAATTCGGTCCTTGCTCACTACTAGTGTGGCAAAACACGATATTAAAATTGGGACATCTGAGCATGAAACCAACTAGATTTTCACTGTTGGCTCGAGCTTCTTTCTTCTAAGAATATGTTTGCCTGAAAGGGGTTCTCCATCAAGAGGGTCTTCCAACTTCATTGACTCTTGTGGTTGATGTTAGGGTTGACCAATTTGGAGTCAATAGTATATGTTGAGTTACATATTTTGGGGAACCATTGGCTCTACAATTAGGGCTTGGGTTTACTTTTCATAGTTAAATATTGAGTTGACAAGGTAGAGTTCACTTTTATAGGACTGAAAAATGTGAATGGTTTAATCCATGCTGTCTTAAAAGGGAAATCATGGGCTCTATAAACTTGGAATTGACGACCATGCCTTGGGTTGACTCTTGTATTTAACATTGAGTTGACTAGAAGATCATTCTATTAAGGTTAACTAATGTGACCACATTATTTTGAACATTGGGTGGAGAAATCATAAGATTTATAAACTTAATTCCCATACCTAGTTTTCTACTTAGGTTGACTAAGAAGAGCACTTTGTTGAGATTTGTCAATGTGATCACATTATTTTGAATATTGAAAGAAGAAAACATATGATCTAGAGACTTAATACCCATGACTAATCCTTTACTGAGGTTTAGTCTATGTTGTCTTGTAAAAGAAAATCATAAGCTCTTTAGACTTACGATCAACAACTAAGCCTTAGGTTGACACTTGTATTTAACATTGATTGACTAAGAAAAGCACTCTATTTAGGTCACTCAATATGCACATGCTATTTTGAATAGTGTGCAGAGAAATCATAGGATCTCTGAACTTAGTTGACTAAGAAGAGCCCTCTATTAGAGTTGGTCAATGTGAACATATTATTTTAAAAATCAGGTGAAAAACTATGAGATATATATAAACTTATTCCCATGACTAATCATTTATTGAGGTTAACTAAGAAGAGTCCTTTATTAGAGTTGACTAATTTAAATATATTATTTTGAATATTAAGTGGAGAAATCATGTGACCTATAAACTTAATATTCAAGACTAATCCTTTATTGGGGTCTAGCCTATTTTGTGTATTGTAAGAAAAAATTAGGCTAAATGGATTTAGAATTGATAACCATCTCTTAGGTTGACTCTTGTTTTAAACATTGAGTTGATTGAGAAATCATGAGATCTATGGACTTAGTTGCCATGACTAGTCATCTATTGGGGTTGACTAAGAAGAGCCTTTTATTAGGGTTGGTTAGTGTGAACACATTATTTAAAATGTTGAGTGGAGAAATTGAGATCTATTGACTAAACACCCATGACTAGTCCTCTATTGGGGTCTAGCCTATTTTGTGTATTATAAGAAAAAATTGGACTAAATGGACTTAGAATTGATAACCATCTCTTAGGTTGACTCTTGTTTTAAACATTGAGTTGATTGAGAAATCATGAGATCTATGGACTTAGTTGCCATGACTAGTCATCTATTGGGGTTGACTAAGAAGAGCCCTTTATTAGGGTTGGTTAGTGTGAACACATTATTTAAAATGTTGAGTGGAGAAATTGAGATCTATTGACTAAACACCCATGACTAGTCCTCTATTGGGGTCTAGCCTATTTTGTGTATTATAAGAAAAAATTGGACTAAATGGATTTAGAATTGATAACCATCTCTTTGGTTGACTCTTGTTTTAAATATTGAGTTGATTGAGAAATCATGAGATCTATGGACTTAGTTGCCATGACTAGTCATCTATTGGGGTTGACTAAGAAGAGCCCTTTATTAGGGTTGGTTAGTGTGAACACATTATTTAAAATATTGAGTAGAGAAACTATAAGATCTATAAATTAGTCCTCTATTAGGGTTGGGTTTATGTTGTGTCTTGTAAGAGGAAATCATGGACTTCTTAGATTTGAAATCGATGACCATGCCTTAGGTTGACTCTTGCATCTAACATTGAGGTTGGCCAATGTGAACACATAATTTTAAAAATTGGGTGGAGAAACTATATGATCTATAGACTTGATTCTCATGACTAGCCCTCTATTTAGGTTGACTAAGAAGAGTCATTTATTAGGATTGACCAATGTGAACACATTATTTCAAACATTGAGTGGATAAGTCATGATATCCACAATTAATCATCCATTGGGGTATGGTTTATGTTATGTATTGTAAGAAGAAATCATTGACTCTATGGACTTAGAATTGATGACTAAGTCTTAGATTGATTTTTATATTAAACATTAAGTCTAAGAAAAACCCTCTAGTGGGTTTGGCCAATGTGAACATATTATTATTAAAATTAGGTAGAGAAATTATAGGAAATATAGACTTGATTCCCATGACTAGTCCTCTATTAGGGTTTAACTAAGAAGAGTCCTATTGGAGTTGGTCAATGTGAACATATTATTTTGAACATAGAGTGAATAAATCATGTGATATATAAACTTAATAACAATGACTAGTGTTTTATTGAGATTTAGTTTATGTTGTGTCTTCTAAGAGAAAATCATGACCTCTATGGACATGGGATTAATGACCATACCTTCGGTTGAGTTTTGTATTTAACATTGAGTTAACTAAGAAGAGGCCTCTATTGGAGTTAGCTAACGTGAACACATTATTTTGAACATTATGTGGTAAAACCATGAGGTCTTTAGATTGGATACCCACGATTAATTCTTAAGTTGACATCCGATATTTGGCATTGAGCCAAATGAGGAAAGGTTTTTGCAAGGCTGACAATTGTGAATGATTTATTTTGATTCCTATTGTAAGATGCCTTTTATAGTTAAAATTCCTTTGATGCTAACCACATGGGGTTGAATCCCTTAATACAAATAAGTTTAAGTTAATCACATCTTTGATGTAGGGTTAATACATAATAACAAAGAGGACTTGATACATGTGACGTCAACTCAATTACTTACATGCTTCCCCCCAAATCATCATGTCATACACCCTTTTATGCCATGTGCATCATTTATGTGCACACGTCTACTAGGTGTACACTTTTGTCATGTCATATACACTTGAACCACACATGCATGATATGTTGTACATTTCTCTAATGTTAGACTCTTACTCTGCTTTGTTAGCAATCTAAGTTACATTCTCCTCTTTATTAGTTGTTAGCATGTATGCTCTTACTAAATTAGGTAATTGATTGTCATAAGCTTTTCTTTTTCTTATGACTATTTCTTTAGGGTTGCCTTGTTACTTAATCAAGTAGAAAGTATCTTGATTAACATAATTTTGTCTTCCCTTATTAATAAGTCTTTATTATTATGAGTTAATAATTAATTAATAATATATTTAATATGATTTTATGCGAATTTATATAATTTTTATATTTAAGTTTTTGAGATAATAAAATAAAATAAAATAAATGAGAAAAACGAGGGACCTATTAGCCAATGGGGACCTTGCAATTGACTAGAGGGTGTTGTATGTGAATAAGGATCAAAAATTATTACCTAAAATATTCTCAAGTTTAAAAAAAGTAATACAATATGACATCACTATTCAAGAGTATTTTGATAAATAGTTAACCTTCTCTCTTATAGTTAGAAGATTCGTTACAGTTCAAATCCTACTAAAGTTACATTTTATATTTTTTATCTAATTAAATTATAATTTTCTGCAAAACACATAGATTAACAATCAAGCCACTAGAATCACTCAATCATCAATGTAAATGTCGTCAACATAATTCACGAAATGTCATTACTAGCTGAAGATTGTAAATGTATTGAATAAATTATATCTAATTGATCAACAAACATACTATCATCAAGAATAGAATGATACATTAGGAGACAAATCATCATCTTTTTATAACATACTAAATATGATGAAGAGTCTCATCTTAGTGTACAGACCAGAAGATAAAACTTAAGATATGCTCTACTATCACCCAACTTATCTTTGTCAAGTGAGAGCCATCAAAGATTTGAATAGTACTTAACTTTCACTCTATCAAGTGATAGCCATCAAAGACACTTCATCAACCCACCTCATCAATTTTTGAATTTTACAAAAAAATTCAAAGATTGTCTACATCATCCATGTTCAAAGAAAACCTTCGAGATCATGGACATTACATAATAATCCTCTCAAACACTAAAATTTTAATGATCGTCACCACAATGTCAAAATTCTATTTAAAAATTTAATAATTCTTAATTTAATATCATTTTGTATGATTTCAAAATTTGAAACTCTTCTTTAGTCAATTATTTTACTTTTGATTTCAAAAAAAATAACTTTTATATATCTTAATTTAATTAATTATATTATTGTCATTATTTATGAAATAATGATTAGGTTGAATAATGGTTTCACCCAAATCATTTGTCGAGTGCGTACATCATCTTGACATCAACACCTTAATTTTCTTATTTCATAAATTTTTAAATATATGTTCTCTTTATCTTTTACTTTAAAAATTATCAAATTTATATTCTTTAAAATTTTATCTTATATATCTTACATCTCTTTGATTGACTAAAAAATTTCATTATTTTTGGAGTTTTTATCTAATTATAATTGATATATTCAAACTAAAATATTTTAAATTTTTTAATTTTTTAA